TCGGAGACTGATATCGTCGCGATAAGACATGGACTCTTTTTAAATCTCTCTCCTGCACCGACGTCGGGTACAACACAAATACACTGTACGAGATGTTGCCATCACCCAACGTCAACATTCGGCTCGTTGGAGGTTCGTTCGTCGTCGTCGGTGGCGGAGGAGGTGAAGAAGAAGAAGAAAATCGAAAACTAGTCGCGATCACCAAACAGGTCAACGGCGCTTTATCCTACGACAGATGGTGGAAGATCAGACGAGCACGTGCAATCGGTTCGGCTGCGCTGTCGGCCAAAGAGGCCATGTACGTCGGGCAAGGGTTGGACGCGCAGATAGCCGCGATGCAATATCCGGAGGTTAACAGAGTGTTGAAAGACCTGGATTTGGAGTTCGTGCGCGCCCAACTTCCGGTGACCAACTACAAGAACGGTTGCAAGGAAGCGAGCGTGGCCGTCGTAGATCTGGTGATGCGCGAAAAATCCACCCAACGTCCTGTGGTCGTGGAGTTCAAGAGCACTTCCTATACGTTGGAACAACTGCAAATCGAACAGAGAAAGCATACAAGAGACGAAGGTACGGTTTCAAGCCATGTTTATTCGACAAGGCCAACGTACAGGCTCAACTAGGAGCTCTGTTTCTAGCCAACACGTAGCCGTTGGAAAAACGACCGGCCGAGGTCGTGATATTCCATTCTCTGGACGGATCCACCCTCGCCAAATGGATATCCGAGGTGGACGAGACGGATTTCGGATGGATCAAAGGATACGAGGAGTCAAGGTGAGTATCTCTTTCTCAACGCCGTCTTTATGAACTGGTCGTCGGTACCGCGTCCGGTGGCCAGGCACGTGTACGGATCGACGATTATCATGCCCTGGTCCGTTCTGACGGACGACACGTCCAGCAGGTTCCGGAAAGCGGACGAGCTGTGCTCGTTCGGACCGTAGAATCTTTGTTGACCGTCTTGAAAGCGCTGGGCTCCGACTGGCAACTTTCGTGGTACTGACGACCCTGGATGGCCACGTTGGATTCGGCGTGCATGTGGTGGGTGGCGATCGGTCGAAAGAACTCGTCGAATCCGGATTTGTACTGCTCGATCGGTTTTCTGCTCTGCAGATACATGCTGTAAACTCCGGTGCAATCGGGAGCGTCGCCGCCGCTCATCCACAGAGGATGGCGACAGCCGAGCGTGATGTGCGCCTCCGATCCGCCGACCGTCGCGTAAGGGTTGGTTGTGAACACGCCCGTCACCTCGTCCAGACTCGTCAGAGCCTGGTTGGAGTTACCGTCGGAGGTGGAGGCACTGCCGTTCACTATCATCTTGTCCTCGGACGAGGGATCGAACTAAGCCGGTATCGGAATGGCCACG